TTGTTCTGTTGACCAAAAAAATGAAACTTTTAATGATAATGGTACCGACATTATGATTTAAACAACAGATTCGCTTTTATAATAGCAGAAAAGTGGAATTACTCTAAAAACATTGAATATAACTAAAAATATTCCGTTTAGATAATAGGCTCGCTTTTTTCAAAGTGTACACTTGGCATCAAACAAATATCATGCATTAGTTACAATATATCATAGTATAATGGAAAAACATACTTACAAAATATAATATAATGAAGAGTTTTACTCAACCTGGCAACTCAATGGCACAGACTTTCCCGTATTAGTTTCTATTTTCTTTGGTTCGGCTAGCTAGAGGAACTTGCCACACACTCTTGCCTGCTGCCACCCATTCTTTTATTTTTTTTAAAATTTTTCGGTTTCCTAATAATAACACGGAAATATTATGATGTGAAATTAAAGAACACTAAAACCTCGTCATACATTGCAATTTTTTTTAAAACACCGTTTGCAAAAAATGACGTTAGAGCGTTTCTGAAAATGCGAAATTTTGAGCTACTTTTCACAGAAAATGATTTTGTTTTCTAGAATATTTATCTGACATTTAAAGCACATGTATTCATAAACATAATAATAGTAAGAGATTGCTGCTAATATAAATATTAACAACGTAAATGGCAAGTCAAAAAATTTAATTTTTGGATTTTTTGATAAAACAAAAAGGTAGAGCAATATGGCATGTATATAATCTTATAGAGTGTATTTATTACTATCGCTACTAAATTTTTAAAGAAAAAATTTGGAACCATTTTCCGAGAAAATCTTGTTTTTGTGATTTTTTTAAAATTGTACATATTGCTCGCAAATTTGCGCGAAAACTACTAATATTTTCAAAAAATTGTTATTACCTTACCGAAAGAACTCACTATGGAGAACAAATATTGTTTGAAGGAAAAATCTCTACCTATAATTTTGTGATTATAGGATGACGACCCAAAAATTTCCAAAGTTTACGCAATTTTAGAGTTAAACCTGAAAATAGGATCTATGTCACCTTTATAAGTGTATTTTAGTCCTTTCTTACAAGAAATTTAAAGAACAAATTGGCGCTGTTCAGAAAATTTAGAAAAGCTCCGGGACTCATGTAAAGTACCCCCAAATTTTAAAGTATTTTTTTCCCAAAAACTCAAAGCTTTGACTCGTTCCACCCCCTATAACGCCTGGATTACCCAGATATTTATGCCCAGTCCCGTTGACTTTTTTGAATCCGTATGTTTCGCAGCGTTAAACAATGTCTCTGCCAAAATCCGATTTAAAAGAAAATCGTTTTTCAAGGGACACAAACGAGCCTAATGTTTTCCGTCTCTCGCCTACTAGCCCTTCCATAGATTACAAGCAATTCAAAAGAGACATTGATTTCTGTATCGCATATCGCATCGCTTAGACACAAAGCGTTGTTCGTTTGAGAAGAATCTATTTTCGCTTTCGAAATATTAACTCGATGGGGAAAATTTAATGAACATAATTTATTTAATCCATAGTTATGCGTCCCTGTAAAATATTTTATACGTATGTACCATATTCTAAACAATATGGTACATTACAGTAAAATATGTAGCGCAGAATGTTAGTCACTCCATCGCCCGCACGCCCTTTACCTAGTGGGTAGGAATGCGAGCAATTAGCCTGGTTGCTTCCTACCTAGAAAGGACGTGACCTGACCGCTGTCCGAAATGTAAGATTACCTTCTTAACCTAAAATCCCCATTCCTTGAACCCAGGAACCAATGGGTGGAATTGGCGTAAAGCTCCCGGAAAGCTTCCGTTTTCTAACTTTAGGTGGTATACCCTTACCCATTTTCCTTTGTTCCTGTTCAGAGCATTAAGCTGCTTCAAATTAGCGAAAGATTGAACTCTAGCAATACTTGGAAGACACCCACTATAGGGAAGAAACCCTAAAGAAAATTTAACTCGGTCGAACCTGGAATGGGGGTTTGAGCATGGGCCAGCACCCCCTACACTCGGAAAATAAAAAAAATCCCGCTCAAGCTTCTCAATAGGAAAAGAGAGCCTCGTATTAACTCACCAGCGTCGCCACAAAAGCCAAAAGAAAAATGGTCTTAATGAATTTATGGGATGCTGCGATGTTTTAAGGTTTAAGCACTAAAGTAAATAAGTTTTAAACGCAATAGAGGAGTTTAACATGGATATTCATAGTGCTTGAATGAAACAAAAAAAAGAGGAAATGGAAATGAAAAGAAAGAAAATATGTTCACTCTTTAAGTGGCAGGGCGAAAAGAAAATGCCAGATTGCCAAAACAGATGTCCATATCTGTACATAAAAGATAGGAGAAAAACATTTCATACGATTAGCTGCGAAGCAATTTGAGATGAGAATAGCTACGTCTCGATTGTGCTAGAGGACGCAATATTTTTATTAGTTGGAATTTTATGCTTCCAACAGACGACTCAAGTGTTGCAGAAAAGATGTTTTTATAGAGAAATTGACTATTTCTTCTGGATTTATTGGAAATCGCAAACAAATGTTGGCTTCTATTTGGTTAATGAAGAGTTGGGAAAAACGAATGACGCATAATGCTAATGACGCCCCGATTCGCGGATGAAAATGTAATTAAACCCGACAAACCAGAGAACAGACTCGCTAAGAGTCATGTGAACTGTATGATCTTAAACAATACTTGAATGGCTAGTTTCCACATAAAGAAAAAAAACATTAAATTCATTTGTGACCCAGCTTCATTACGAAAGGCAATCAATTAAATGACTACATAACTTATTAAACAAACAAGTCATCAATAATGTGGAACGCGCATGTCGGGTTCAAGAGGAAACTTCCTTGGACACAACCCTACATTAGTAAAAGGAAAAGCTTACCTTGGTATTAAACCATACTTCAAAGTTACGGAAAAACAAAAAAGTCAAATACAAAAGGTGGAAATAGAGAGTCAGATGTGCGCCGAGTATACAATGTTGAAAGCCTTCAAGCATGATTCCCGTTGCCATTTTGCTACAAATTGTTGCAGTTTCAGAAAAATTAAAGTACATCCCAAAAGGAAATACTGAAGACAAATACCAATTTTTAGACAAATCTACTCATGAAGCCGGTTAATTAGATTTGGAAGAGATGGGAAAATGCGAAAATAAAGAAAAAAACATGTGGGTGACAGAAGAAATAAAGAACCTGGTTGAAGAATAGAAAAGGTTATATTTGAGATGGCTTTCAACAAAAGATTTAGAAGACAGAAGTGAATATAATAGAATGAAATATTTTGTTACATTCCATGAATTTGAATACAACCCATGAATAGCATTTAGTAGACCCAATTGGTTTTGAAAAATGGCAAAAATTCTAGGAAAATATTTTGACCGAAAATAGAACTAAATTTCGGGGAATAAATTATGAGCCACTGCACGTAAATTCTATCACACCAGATGTGACTTTGGAGAGGTAAACAAGGTGTCAAGACACATGAAAAATAATAAAGCACTTGGGCCTGGAGGTATATCCATAGAGCTGATTAAACATTATCCTATTATAGGTTTGGAATTCATTACTGAAATATTCAATGGCTTTTTAAAAGGAGGTAAAATACCTGAAATATGAAAAGTAGCCTATATAAATTCAATTACCAATAACTCTGTAAAAAATATTTAATAATTATAGAGGGATAAGTGTGACTTCATCTTTGGTTATACTGTATGGACGTGTGCTAAAGAATAGAATTAAAATGCAAACATCAGACTCAGAAAAGCAAAGGGATTTTAGACCAAGAAGATCTTGTGTTGACAATACTCGTATTTTCTGTCTCAAACAACTGTTGAAAAAAAATTGAGCGATGAAGAGAACTTCACATAATTTTCATTGATCTCAAAGAGGCTTATGTTAATGTACCGGTAAACGAAGTATGGGGGCAGTAGAAAAAAAAAAGGAATATCAACAACATACATAAATGCAGTCAAACAACTTTATAAAGATAAAAAATGTCAAGTAAAAGTGGGAAAATGTCTCTCAGACAACTTTCCAGTAAATAAAGGATTACGGCAAGGCTGCTGTATATCTCCAACCCTATTTAAGACATATATTGATAAAACCCTAAAAGAATGGAAAAGAAAGTGCGGAAGCATGGGTGTGAAAATATGTGATGAAACATTGTTTAGTCCACTATTTGCAGACGACCAGATGATAATGAATGAAGATGATGATGATGATGATGATGATGTAACGTATATGTTCAGAAAATTAGTAGAAGAGTATGGAAAATGGGGAATGGAAATAAATGTACAACAAACTGAATATATAGTGGTGGCAGTTATGTGTAGTGCATGTAAGTGTGTGAAGGTAAGGGGCGAGGATAGGACAAGAAGGAGGAAAGATAGATGGCGCGCGATCAGTGACCCGTTTTTTAGGGAATTGTTCCGGCATTCGCCTGGTGTTGTTGATCGAAGAATTCACAGAAAAAATGCAGATCAGAGCAGCCAGGTGATAGAATTCTCCTTCGTAAAGTGTCTGACTTCCCTATGCACCTAGTGTGTTTAAAATCCAACCACTGGAGTGAAAACCTAGGTCCTCCCATTCAGAGGCACTGCAGTAATATCAATTGGTGCCCTGTTCAACCTAAGGCGGTTTGATTGCGCCAAAATGTGATCTGTCAAACGAACGTCTTCCAGTTAGTGGTATATGTCATATGTTAGTTGCATGAAGGTTTCTCTCTGAATGTTCACTGGGGTAAAGTGATAATATTTGACTTATATACATGCCCTAGACATTTGTAACATTTATTCTGAGACACTCTCGATATGCGCGACTGCCTCAACGCGTCACACTACTTACGGCAGCATTATATATATATATATATATATATATATATATATATATATATATATATATGTTTCAAAATTTTATCAATAGATTTCTGGAAATAAAACACTAAATGATTGCAAAAAATATAATTTTCATGAAAGTATAAAAAATAATAAAGATTCTTATTAGTTTCAAGAAACATTAAAACATTGTTTTAATCAAAATAAAATATTAATTGTTTTAGGTAGCCCATTTCACATGTTTTTACACAATGAGAAAAATATGCTAATGTATCAAATCTATCCCATCGGTAAATAAGCTCAAACAACAAAACATAGTAATCGAATAGCCAATGTTTCATAAATTATTCCGTAGTACGAAATGCTTACATGTTTCCTGGTTCTTCTTAAATGATACGAGACACTATTCCAAAGACTGGAAGAATTGAAATATAAGTATATCTTTGGATGACCAAACCATACCACCACCATACATGTTGATATAAAATAGGAGAAGCGTTGTCGCCATCTGACTTTAGATTTGTAGAAGTGCGTCGATCGTAGCCACGCATTGCGACCGCCAGTCGGCCCGTTTCCGGATTTGCCACGCTGATATGCGTGTTGGGGCAAGCGCGGGCGCTGACGTCACATTCGGGATCTGCGAGCGAAGCCCGGCGTGTCGCAGAGGCGACAAAGAGGAACGGAGGAGAGCGACGTAAACGGCAGCAGCGACTCCTCGTGGCGGCGGCGGCAGCGGCGGCGGCGTCAGCCGGCGGCAGGCGAACAGACACCGCTCACGCTCCGAAGAAGGGTGCAGCTGAGGGACAAAGAAGGGTAAGTTTGATCAGAGATCGTTGATGAAATGTGAATGAGTTTATCTGGCAGGCGATTTCAAACCGCTCATTGCTAATAATTTAAACAGATTTTTAAAGTAGTTATCTTTAGAAAAGTGTTTTCAGAAAATGATTCAGTTGAACAGTTTCAGAAAATGAACAGTGAATATGATGTAAACCTTTTCTTAAATAATCTCAGTATGTAGGCAATCAAGATTTGATAAATGTTCCAAGATAGACAAATGTTGAGTAATCAAAGTAGATACAGGTGCTTCACGGTAATCCAAAAGGTTCGTTTTGCTTTGACTTTTATTGTTCTTTTTGACATTAAGTAATGTTACCTAGACTCCTAATTTTTACGGCATTTACAAAAATGTTGCGGGTTTTATGTTTGTATATTTTTATTTATCGTCGCTTCTTCGTCTGTGTAATATTTTCTCTTTTCATTTTATGTTTGTTTTAGAGAATTATGCACAAGCTTTTATGTAAATAGAGTTCAAAGTTTAGATAAAATATGATATTTCAATCGATCGACAACGGATGAAGTTTGTGTTCAACCGCATCAGCTCTGACTTTAAACTCAATAAACTTCAATTATCAAAGAACGTGATCCGATCTTCCTCGATATTCCCACGAGAGCGTGCAAGATCCAGGAAGCGGACCGTATCCATTTGAAATACTGAATGCTTGTGTGTTGTTTCCTAAATTGATTTCATACCTATGAAACTCTGAGCTTCGAATCAAAGTATAACCAAAAGTAGTCTGAGCAATAAGGAGAATCAAAGTGACGGTGAAGACATGTTCAATGACGTTGCAATGACATGTTTAATAGGTAAGTAATACTATGAGTAATGTCGACACTTCGAAAAAAATATTCTGTGGCGTAAGTGCTAATTTATTGACATCACAGAGAACAAGTCAATTACTGAAATGGTTTTTACAATTCTCAATTGTAAATCCAAATTCTATTTTTTTACCTTAGTGAATATATTAGAACAGATATGAACACTTCCCAAAAAAGCAAGGCGGCTTTTAAAGTAAATAAAATAAATTATTTCACATCAGTTTATTACTGATACATGTTTTATAGACTGATTGTCACGATGAAAACATATTTTGTAGATATTAGTCATTTTTTGGAAACAACTTTATGGAGAAAGTTATTTATTGGAAGATCTTTTATTCAAGAATTTCGCCTTAAAGAAGATCTGCTTTAGTGAAGTAACCGAAAATAATAAAACTACTTATGCGCATCACAGCAAGTTTCGATAGATCTGATATATTTCACAAAATGGGACGGATTAAAGTTAGTCTTTTCATTTTAAATTCTACTGAGAGATAAGTTGTTGGTTAAGTTTCAGTATCCAAAGCATTTTTATCGCAAACAATTTCGTTTTTTTTTCAGCTGAAATATGACGAAGGGTGCCTTGCGAAACGGCAAGGCTGAAGGTATTGGACGAGAAAATGGGAACGCCGGTGTCGAGCTCGGAGTGTTGGAAGTACCTATCATCGAGTGAGTACCGTTAGAGTTTGACAATATAAGTACCATACCGGGTAAATTCACGATTCAAGAAAATAAGTACCAAATTGAGTGAGTATCAATCGAAAAAATATAAGTACAAGATATAACAATAGGCGTCTACAAGTTGGTAGATGAATTTAAGTTGCTCAAAGTAAATACCATTGCTATATCAAAGAATAGTAGCTGTCTGTTTACTGCATTTTTCTTCAGATTGAAATTTTACCCTTCTTATCAAACTTCAACTTTGCTTCAGTTAACAAAATTTTAAATTATTAACGCCGTCATCACTATGTAGAATATAGTCGAGAGAATTACTGTTTAGGGTGACCATTTCATGAAGAGATAAATGAATGCAGTAGAAACCTGGATTGACAGCAGCACCCTTTCTAGAAGCGTGCTCGTAATCCGAAGCACTTGTGAATCGAAGCCAAATTTCCCATAAGAAACAACTGAAATGCAGATGATTCGTTCGCAATACAAAACTTAATTTATATAGAATGAGTAATAAAAAACGCTGTGGGCCTTGTATAGTAAGTAGTGGTGTTACAAAATGCCACAGACTTTCTCGTATTCAAGTGTTCTAATTTCCTTGATGTGGACAGGCTTTGCTGCCTTGCCAGCTATATCTATTGCCCAAGGTACATTTTTTACGACATTTTCTCAGTCTTTGGGTATACTAGTTGTAGAACTGAAATATTACTTTAAGAATATTAAAGAATAGTAAAACATCGTCATAAATGTCAATTTTCATTGAAAAATATGGACCCTATTTTATGAAAATGCCGTTTAAACGTTACTACTAGTATAGCGAGTTAAATTACACCCTCGGGTGTCTCTCGCATCCCAGCCTCCACATCTCTCTATCAGTGTAGTCTTTATTACTCAATCCTGTCTTTGCCATTGCCTCATTCACTCCCTCTCCCCATGTAAGTATAGGTCTTCCTCTTCGCCGATGGGTAGCTGGTTGCCATTTTCACAATATTTTCGGCCAACGTTCTTCCTTCATTCTTTGCATGTGCCCATACCATTTTAGTCTTTTCACTTCTATGGTGTCAAGTATATTAAAACTCACTTACGCTTTACGTTCAATTTCTTCGTTCTTAACTTTATCCATTAAAGTCAGTCCGCAACTTCGGCGCCAGAAATCCATTTCCATTGCCTTCAATTTCTTTTCGCTCTTTTTTGTTACATCCCATTCCTCAGATCCATAAAGGGCAATATTGTCTACAAGTCTTATATAATTTTCTTTTTACACTCTTACTTAATTTATCTTTCCATATCAGTGGATGTAGTTGTCTTATAGCCACTCTACCTTTTGCAATTCTGTTTATAATATCTGCTTTTAACAACAACAACAATAATAATAATAATAATAATAATAATAATAATACAATAATAATAATAATAATAATAATAATAATAATAATAATAATAATAATAATAATAATAATAATGCGTACTGCCTCCATTTGCGTTTATTTCTGAACCAAGGTATATGAATTTTTGACGGTTTTACTTCCGAACCATCATCCAGTTTCAGACCTTTAGCACTTCCTCCTACAACTATATACTCAGTCTTATTAAGGTTTATTTCAAAACCCCATTCCAAGTACTCTTCATATAATTTTCGCAACATGTATGAAGCATCGTCTTCATCTTCAGCGAACACCACCTGATCATCTGCGAAATGTAGAGAGAATAACATAGAGTCACCAATTTTAACCATATTTCATTTCTTCCTCCATCTTCTGAGGGCTTCATTCAAATATATTTTAAACAAAGTCGGGGCTACACAGTATCCCTATCGTATACCTTTATTTCCAGTAATGGAAATGGTGCTGAAATGTTACTCCCTACTTTTATTTGGTCCGTATTATCACTGTACAAATCTTTAATGGCTCTAATCAATTGCGTATTTACATTTTGTTTCTCCATCGCCATCCATAGCCTAGATAATGGAAGTGTCGTAGGCGTTAGGCAGATCGATAAATACAAGGTGCGTCTCCACGTTATGGGCGAGACGTTTGTCGGTTACTTGTCTAATACTGAAGACATCAATACACGAGCGCCCTGCTCGAAAACCTCTCTGTTCCTCGACATCAATGAGGTCTCTTCCCTGACGAGTTTTTACTATTTTCCCATACACTTGGCCAATGCTACTAAGGACAGTTATACCTCTGTAATGTACATACCGTTTTCTATAATATGAGCAAATAGCAGACTTAATCCTAAAATCGGACCTATGTCATTTCATAGAATTCATTAGGCACCATTCCCACTATCATTTTAAAGAAAAAAGGTGGATTCGTTTTTCAGAAAATCTTGTTTTGTTATTTTGATTAAATTACAAATATTGCTCGCAAAGTTCGAAAAGCACTAAAATTTTCAAAACACACATGACCTTAAAGAAAGAAATAATTATGGACAAAAAATTTCATTTGAAGAAAATCTCGTTCTTTAATTTTGTAGTTGTATGAAGACAGAAAAAATCATACTTTTGAAATTTTCGAAAATTTAGAGTTAACCGTGAAAATCGGACGTATGCCACTTTCATAAGTGTATGTTACTCCATTCTTACAAAAAATTTAAAGAAAAAATGGGGCTGTTTTTGAGAATATTTTGAAAATGTCCGAAGGGCTTCATTTTAAGTTCCCCCAAATTTTAAAGAATGTTTTTCAAAATATCAATGCTTTGACTTGAGACAGGTGGCCAGGTATTTCGTCAATTTGAAAAAAATATCTTACGCATGGTTTAGACGCTAGTATTGTTTACAGACTCCAGACGGACGGACGGAGACAGGCAGATTGACGTTTTGAAAAAAACATTTTTTCGGTATCAAGGGACCAGAAAACGTGTATTTTCGTTGAAATGTCGAAATTTATTTTGCGCAGCATTACGTAACTTTCCCGATACTACATATATTACAATTCATATATACGTACGTGTACTGGAAAGTAAAATTGCTTAGATTTACCTTATACTTCGATTAAAACAGAACGTCCTTTCAATGTCATGAGCTGAAATAAGAGGGGGAAAATGTAATCCACACGAGAGCTTCAATACCAAAAATGTAAGTTGTAATGAAGCTCGCGATTGAATGACAACGTTCCCCTCTCTTGTCAGCTCGTGACCTTCAAAGGATTGAGGAAAACGATAGTTTAGATCAGTTCTGCACAGCATTTTGCACTTTCACTGACCTCAGGAGCCACACGTGAGCAACTCGAGTGCAAATCCGCCAGGGAAAGAAAGGGTATGGATTCTAGAAATGGAGACTACCAATGAAAATGCGCAATTCGAACCATAGCGCGTAAATTGAACGAACGATTGGCGAGGAGACTGTTGCATACCTTTCAAGTAATATTGTCTTTAGTATTACATTGGAAATGTTCGATGTCGATAGATGACAGTGTGAAATATGAACCTAAAATGAAGTAGAAATACATATTTCATTTGGACAATTATTATGATTGCTTTTTGGTCTGATAATGTAATTCGCTTTGATACGATCTGGAGGTCCAGATTCGGAGATTTAAGGTTTGATTTCCTGGCGATCCAGAGAAATTTCCACCTTAGGGTTGGGTCTGGTAGAGGGTGCGCTCAGCTCGTGAGTACAAATTGAGGAGATACCTTTAGGTAGACCATCATCGGTCTAATAAATCGAGATATGGGTTAACGGGAGTCGCTGCTCTGACCACGCGACACATGTGCAAGCCCTCTGCTAAACGGAGGGGACAACCCATCCGATCGGCCGTGACTCTTCATGAGCTGTCGCGCCGAAGATGATGTATGCGCTGCCTTTAATAAAAATCTGAACATATTTTAACACAAACTTTAACATTATATTTGTCAATTATTTCGCAATTTCTTACGGGCTCCGCCGTTGATTCTCCCGTCCCTCTGGGTGTTTTCGGGCACCGGATTTTTCATTAACAAGCGACTGTTGAAGGGGAGCGATTGTGCCCAACCGTGCTAGCGAGAAATCTCCACAACGGCGTATTGTTTACGGCGCCCGCCGGCGCGCTTTCGCCAGCGCCTTGCGCGCGTGGCGCGGCAACCGGGGTCCCAAGGGCGCGTGGCGCGCGCGCGCGTGCGGCAGGGGCGGCGCGTCCCCGGAGGCCAAGGACGCCGCACGCGACGCGGCGCTGGACGCCGAGACGGCGGAGGGCGTTGGCGGCGCGGAGGCCAAGGACGCCCCCGCTCCCGCCGCCGCCGCCGCCCGCGAGGACCCCGCGCCCAAGCCCGTGCCCTACTTCCAGCTGGTGAGTCCTGCTCGCGCACAATCATTATTCAATCGGACATGAAATCGTGTCACTGCATGTTTTGAAGAGACGAATTTTCTGGCAAACAATGCACGTCCTCAGCTTTTGTTAGGTTAGAGCTAGTCTTGAGAATCAACTATTAATGCCAATTACTGCCATTTTGTATTTTGTTTTTTTGTTACAAGTATTAATTTAAGTAAGTTCTAAGTATGTAAGTAATTAATTATTAAGAAAGTAATTAATATAACAAAACCTAGATTTATTTTGAAAAAGCAAAAAGTCATTATTCTATTGAACAGTAGGTTGGTAGGGCTTCATTTTGTTTTATTTACCTACTATAAGCCTACTGACGTGTTTGAAACTCTCTGGATTGGTTTTTTATCAAAAGTTTGAATTTTATGAATGACAATTTATTTTGTGTTGAGAACAAAGGAAATACAAATATACTTATTCTATAAGGGTGCCACGGAAAATACAAAACACAACATTCTTTTCTGGACCAAATAATAAAGTTTTCTGCGAATTGTATGGCTATACACTGACAACATAACTGTAATTAACTCACCTTTCAAAATCAGAAAGCAAGAAATTTAATATGTACGAATATATGCATCTTTAGGAAGGTACCAATAACGATTTTGTCTCCTTTTTCTTCAATGTTCATAGTAAAATGAATATAATTTTAACAGATGTCTTTAGAAATCTTTTGAACATGTTTCTCTATTACTCTGGTAATGCACAATACTTTTCTACATTTATTGTTTATAATTTTGCCAAAAATGCATTTAAGGGAGAGTCTTCTTCATATCTTTCATGAGGTTAAGGAGGAATCATTACATGTTGACAGATAATAATAGTTATTGGAGACAATTAACACAGAATACGAATACAACCCAAACCTACTTATGTACAATGCGGGATATCTAATAATAATAATATATTTTACACTTTATTAATTTGTTATTTTTAAATACTACGAACATTTAGAACCATGTAATATGTTTTAAACAAGTTTATAAAACTTTTTAGTTGTCGCTCTAAGAACAATTCTTACCTTTCAGAACAATACACAATTCCGTACTTTTGGGAAGGCTATTTCAGACCTAGTTGTAATTTGCGTAAGTGCTGCATTTCGGAGAAGACCTCGGCCTCTTATCGATTAGCGAGAGAGAGGAAGGGTGCAGATGTACTTAGCGCAAATAAGAGAACTACTCTCTGATGTCTGACGTCTCGAGTCACAGGTCACACCCAAGGGACCTCTGACTATGGTGTGTAAGAATAATTATTTTTTAGCAACTAAGGTCTGAAATATATTCTTTAGAATATTTGTAATCTATAAATAATCTTATGCTTATTTTTCATAAGGAATTTTAATTTCATTTCCCTTTTTACTTCTCCCTACGGAGTAAAGAAAAAAGTTATGTAATGCTGCGAAGAAAAAACGAGGATTTTCGATAGAAAAATTCGTATTACAGTGCCCTGGTAACGAAAAAGTTAAACAAAAAGCATACAGTTGCTGAATTTAGAAAAAAATCCTCTATCACATGCTGTACAGAAAAAATGCTCTATCACACGGTGCCCGAATCCATGTTTTGTAGGTCTTTGATACGGAAAACTCGTATGACGGCAAAACTACTGTCCGTCTGTGAACAACGCTAGCGGCTAAACCGTTCAGCCGCTTATCTCCAAAATATACATTCCCCAATCGATCTGCTGATTCGTGGTCCCTTGAATTTAAAATTGATATTTTAATTTGGGATGGTACTTTACATAAAGCCCATGGTACATTTCCAAAATTTAAAAAAGTCTCCGTCGTTTTTGATTAAATTTTGTTATTGGATAGTGTGAAGGACGTTTAAGAGAACAGAGCAGGTTTCGTGTTCGTTAAAAATCCTGAGTTTTCAAAAATCTCCAAAGTTCAAATTTTTTCGGTGTCTTCCCACTACTACAATTTTGAAGATAGAAAATTTTCCCTTAATAAAATCTGTCCTTTAAAGATAAATTTTAAAATAAGGTCAGGTACAATATTACGAAAATTTGAGTAGTTTTCGTGAAATTTTGCGTCAAAATACGGGGGAGAAAGTACGTGCTGTTTTAGCACCTCTAGTTTTATTTTATCTTGTTAGGACGGCGACATTTTAATCAAGTATTGAAGAAACATTAAACTTCTAACTTTGCTAAAAATGTTATAATATAAAGAATGTAAAAAGATGTATTCGACACAGCAATTTCCCTAAATCAAAATGTGTTAAATAGCCTCAAAATAAACAATACATTGAATTGATACGTGATATACGATTGTTGTACCATGCTGAGGAGATCTAAACAATCTCTTCTGCAAGAGTAATAGTTTAAAAGTACTGGTGCACGTTCTTTCTCGTCAGTATTTTCACGCAAAAGTACGCCAAAAGTACTCAAAATTTCGAAAAATTGTACATGACATTATTTCAAAATCTATCTTTAGGGAAAATATTTCATTAAGGAAAAAATATATATCTGTAATATTTTAGTTGTAGGAAGTCTCAAAAATCAGGTTTTTCATCGAACATGAGACCTGCACCATTATCTTAAACGTCCCTCGCACTATCAAACCACAAAATTTGAATAGAAACAATGGAGTAATTTATTTGAAAACGTCCCAGGGGTGTAAAATACCCTCTAACATTAAATAATCGGTTTAAAATTCAAGAAGCCGTGACATGCTGCTAGCCGTAGCTACTAGCGTAGTTCACTGACTGACAGGCAGATGTTTTGCCGTCATTCCATTTGTTGGTATCAATGACCCATAAGACATGGATTCTGGCTACACCACGTGACAGCGGATATTTTTTCTAAATTTAGCATCTACATTAGTCCACTTTTTCGTTAGCTGGGTAATTAGAGTTTTTCTGCAAAAAATTTGCCGTTTTTCCGCGCAGCATTACATAAGTTTTTCTCTCCGTAGCAAGAAAGTAAAGTCGATTCAAAATTTGAAAAATGTAAATATTGGTGAAAATGTTGAAAAATATAATAACAGTGAAATAATAAAGACTTGTAATATTTGTAACTAAGGCAGTTCTAAATAATTATTTCCCGGGTGTAGAAAAAAAGTCCGTCAGTTTTGAGATAAATGAAGAAATATATTCAGATAATAGTTCATTTTATTAGAAAAAGTACACAAAGATACTTCACAAGATTGTCAGAGCATTTTTGAACAGAACATTAAAAATGTATTTGAAACCTATCTTTACCTACACGTGTGTATATAAAGTATGCTGTATTGAACTATTGCGTGATATCCTGCTTTCCTCCTTAACTTAAACAGTAATGCATCACTTAAAATTATATTCACTGAAAAGTTTTATAAATTGTCCCTGTGACTGACGATTACTGATTACTGCGTTTAATAGTATACACTTGCTTACCTTTGCATTAAAAAATATCCAGTTTTCAAACTTATAATGCTCAGTATCTTAGGTCCACAACTGCAGCCTTATGGTTTAAGAAAATTTTTGAATTGTATTGTAAATTTTTTGTAGTTGGTGTTGAAAATGTAGTGAAGAAACGACGGCAAATAAGAGTTAATTATATTAATTTTGCGATTTTATTAAAATTTATTGTTTATATTATAAAATTGTTGAATAACAGAGATGACACATCTAGTTCTCACAACCTTTGTTTTAAAGCGAAAATCACGAACTGAAAATTAGTAGCAAGCTAAGATTGCTTTTTAAACGAGAACCCTTAGTATTATTTGCAAAGATAACTCTTTGAAGACTTTCAGTTCCGCTACGCGACGCCGTGGGAGCGCGTGATGGTGGGCGCGGGCCTGGTGTTCGGGCTGGTCACCAGCATCGGGCTGCCCGTCATCATCATCCTCTACGGAGAGTACACGACGCTGCTGGTGGACCGCAACATGGAGAACGTCACGTCCTCGCGCACGCACGTGCTCGATCTCTTCGGCGGCGGCCGCGTGCTGTGAGTTCCCGCGCGAAAGCGCCCTCTCGAACGCACTCCATTGGATACTAGACGCTTTCGGGCACGCCAACTCATATGATCATTAGTCCCGTTAGTATAGTTAATGTTTCATCCCGGGTGGTGGGGGTGGCGGTGATTCCTTCCCAGGCTGAATGGCGAGATCCGGCGCCGTCCTACACGATATTATATAATGCGATTTCAGTTGGGATTTGTAAAGTGGTTTACAAAAGTGGTTTAGGAGGTGGGATGTAGGTTTAGAGGAACCTACAAAGAGAAATTAGGAAACGTTAAAATTCGCTCGTCATTCCGAATTAGGTTGAGCTGGGGGATTTAGAAAAGTCTTGATAAGACTCAGTAGGTGATAACGGCAGTCGCGCCTCAATTATGTTCATTACAATACCAGAAACACGTAATATGTTACGTAAATTTGTTTTAAGTGCCGTTGCTATATGACCTAAATGAAAAAGAAGCACGAAAATGGACTTATGAATAAAAAATTAGTGCACCGTAAAAGTAATACCAGCACATGGAAAGTTTAATAAATTAATTAACAAAAAATGAGCGTTCCTAATGAAAAAAACATAAAACTGGGATAATTATAGAATTAACATATAGAAATTATGTACAATAAATGCTGCTAGGTGGGCATAAAATATAATAGTTTTATAAAGTCTTATTTCTATGGACACCGTTCTTAAATTAATTTATAAAGTTTAAATAAAATTCATTAGGCAAATGTTGCAATTTTAATTGGATAATATACAATCATTACCAGGGCTCCGATTTTGGTGAGCTAAGAATGCTTGAAATTGACCTCTAAAATGACTTAAATGTAAGAGAAAAATGATTTACAATAAAGGGAAAATTATCTAATTAAAAAAATAGTAAAAACTCTGTATAAAATGTTTATTTATTCATTGAATATAATAATTTGAAATGAAATTTATTTAAATAAAATTATATTTTATATAAAGTCTTTATTTTGGGAGGAAATATAATCCTTAACTCTTATTTTCCAATCGACAGATATGAAACATCGAGGTTGTTCCCGAAGATCCGTGCAATTTTGAGAGATCGGAAAACGGAGTCCACTGCAGTAGTGAATTTCGTCATGAACTTACGATACAATGAAAACTTTGTTTTAGTATGTACATTGTAAATTCATGAAACATTCAGTAACAAAAGACAAAAAAAAAGGAAGAAAAATACTTGCAAATGAAGAACAAATAACGCGAAGGTCTATACAAATTACCTCTAAATGGAAAACGGCAAAAATTGCAAAAAATGATCCCAAAACAAAATATTTCTATCTTCTATATGTCGCGGTAAAATTATTTTCAAGTTTGCTACGGCTAGAATGCATCAATGTAAAGAAAACAGTCATCAGAATCCAAGTCCTGATTATTACTGAAAAATCATAATTTTTATAATTCCCATCTGACGATTGACTGTTGAGTTTGCCAACTCATATAACACAGGTGACATTTGCTCATGCTATTTTGATAATTTCCACGCCCTAGTGTTCGGTAATCTCTGAGCATTCAAAGAGATTTAGTGTACCTGCTGAATCCGGCGCATGTGAAGTTGTCTAACAGTGGGGGGGGGGGCAAATGTCATTTACGTAACCCATCACATTACACGATGATAGTTTCAAATTACTGTCGCAGAAATTTGCGAGCCATTAACTTAAGATTAAAATAACTTAGTGAGATAAAATTAGTTTACCGTCCTGTATTTTATAAGTTATTATTAAAACATTTTTGATAAATTATTATGTGAACACAATTGTAATTATTATATTCCTACTTGGTATCGGAAAGCAATCAGTGTCTATGTTACATGTTGCCTCATTGTACCTCAGAATCCTTGTTCAACGTCCGAACCTCTCCAGACCGCGCGATCCATACAACGGCTCTAAAAACAGCGTTGAAGCGAGTGTGTCCCGATTCGCCACGAGCGCCGTGCTCGCGGTCACGCGCAGAGGAGCGCTTAGAGCGGAGCGGTGAAGCGGCGCGCGTGCGCGGCGTGCGCAGGGTGAACGGCAGCTGGGAGCAGCGGCGGGAGGCGCTGTTGGAGGACTCGGCCGCCTTCGGGCTGGGGGCGCTGGCGGCGGCCGCGCTGCAGTCCGCGCTCGCCATCTGCTGCATCTCCTGCCTCAACACTGCCGCGCACCGCCAGGCACGTCCCGCCCCGCGGTTCTTTCCCTCTACGTCGACTTCTTCCTCTCTTTCTTTAGTTCTATTTACCTCTCATTTTATTTGCTTTCTTTCCTTTTTTTGGCATGAAGTTACTCAGTTCTTTAACCAAGAACTACCATTCATTTTCTATGCAGACACCGAAAGTTCCACATTCAGATTCTGTCAAACACGAGGCGTTCACAAAATGTGACTTCTCATCCTCCAAATTGAATGTAATCACGTCATTACTGAAAAAGCATTATTACTCATTATTATAATCATTATCACTATTGAGTTTGCCAAATCAAAGTAGTACACCATTGAAGTGTTTTAAAACTATTTTTTTGGAATAGAGTTACCAACCGCTTACGCAACTGTGACCCTATTTACCTATTAAATGCATTTTATGATAAACGATTTTGAACTTGGACTATGATTACTTGAATTAGCGATTATGGCAATTTCTGAGTTTCGGAATGTTCAGAGGACCTCTGGTCTTAAAACAGAGCGTCCAAATGTGCTAATAAAATGTATACCAAATGCTATGAAGTACTTAGTATAAAAAGTATACTTCACAGAAAATGACCAACAAACGGATGATTTTCTTTTAAGAGAACGCAATGTTTAGTACGTACATTTGAGCCATTTTATGAGTAACATTACGTAGAGAAAAGACACCCTGAGTACTATAGAACATTTATTGGTATTATAAATTCGTTGCAGATTCCCAGTAAGAAAACGACAATTTCATATGTTTGCTCCTCCTGCTTCAACTGCCTTTTCAAGGTTGTTGGAAATACACATAAACATGCCAGGCTTGGTGAACCTAATTCTCGTCAAACACGAGCATCCTAATCAACAGTATTAAATTGGACCGGTAAATTAATTCACATAATACATGATACCTGCAATCTGGGTCATATAACGACAGAATTGGTGTGAATTCGCAATTTGCTTGTACAAGGTGTGCGTGACACTTGGTTACTTATATTCCTCTAATCCAACACACCAAATATAACATCCCCAGAGTCAGTTCAGACAATTCTTAAGTACTTTTACACTCAATCGGCTCTATACCGCTAACTGAAGTTGAATATGAATTCCATGATATATAAGATTTGTAGAGTACTCTCTGGCGTAGGAAAATAAATCGTTATAATAATTTAACGTGATCACACGGCGATTGGGACATTATTAAATTTATGTTAAGAAAGACAAAATGTTACCCCCAGTGTGCCAATTCGTGCATGAAGTGGTAAATACAAAGTGACTGCGGGTTTTGATTTTTCATTAAAAAAGGCAAACGAAAAACGGAGGAGTAAACACGAAAAATAATCTGAAGAAAAGCTGTTCAGTTTCAATTATTACAGGTAAAGTGTTTCCCTGGTTAGATCGTTGCTGATGAACTAAACTCAATGTTACACTATGAGAAAGGATCCATAACGCGAATTTTGTCGTTTATAGTCTGGCCCTCACGGTGAGCAGTAGCAACAAAATCATCGACTTGCTGGCAAAACTGAATGTGCAGATTCTTGCAGTACTTCACTGTCGTGTTCCTAATACATTCTAGGAATCTAGAGGGAGTTTCAAAATCTATTGTTATTGAAACTTGAAATAGAAAAAAATGAAAGGGAAGCGCAGCGCTCGCCCGTCGGCCAAAGGCAAGATAATATTTTCTGTTTCTTTTCACGTGAGGAATATTTACGGTATTCTACTCTTTACGGAACCTCGCTATTTCCAGTATAGTGGATGGGGATCTAGAAACGATATATCGGTCTTATCTAATTCTAGAACATAAAATACTGTTTATAAATTAATATGCCAATATAATAATTGTTAATATTACGATTTTGTAATAGAGGAGTTGGATTTGCCATTATCTGGATAGAATATTTGTAAGCAGTGCATACATTTTCAACCATTCCTTTATAAATCTATTCCTTATATCTTCATTTTAATAATTTTATTACTCATCTAATCTATCTACAATTCCTTCAGTACTTCTAATTACTTCCTAATATGTAAATTAAGTAACCTTCACTATACTATGTACTTTCTTATACCTCTTCACTATGCTAATACTTTCCCCTTTGTCCTCTAATATACCCCGCATCTCATCTCGCACACTTCCTTCCTCAAAAAGCTGATATCTGTTTAGTTTGTGTTCCCAGTCTTCCTCATATATGTTAGCACATAAACGGTAATCTGCAAAAATATAGCAATACCATTGCAAAATCTCTCTTTACTAGTATCCTTTTTATGAGTTCTCTTCCTCACATAGACTTTTCACAATATTTTAGTTACATCAGGGTGTTTTATATCGTACTCATTGCTTCATAATTTTAGCATTTCATTTTATTTGTTTGCTACCGCTTGTACAATAGAGAGAAAGTTATGTAATGCTGCATGAAAAACGGCGAAATTTCTGCAGAAAACTCGTATTACAGGGTCCTGGTAACGAAAAGTGCATACATCCAGTAGCTAAATTTAAGAAAAAATCTCTAGTACGTACTGTAGCAAGAATTCATGTTTTGTGGGTCCTTGATATCGAAAAATCGATTGACGGCAAAACGTCTGTCTGTTTGTCCCACTGTGAACAATACTAGCGGGTACGCCGATAAGCCGATTTTCTTCAAAATTGATATTCCCCTACCGATTTGGCTGATGTTGCGGATCCTTGAATTTGAAACCGATATTTTAATTTTGGGGAGTACTTTCCATGAAGCCTTTGGGTCATTTTCAAAATTTAAAAAATGGCTCCAACGTTTTTGATTAAAATTTGTTATTGGATAGTTTGAAGGACGTTTAAGAGAATGGCGCAAGTTTCATGTTCGTAAAAAATCCAAATTTTTCGAAAATTGCAAAAATTCAGAAAATGTTCCGTATATTCCCAGAACTACAATTATGAAGATAAAAAGTTTTTTCTTAATAAAAAGTCTAAATGAAATATTCGTCAAAAACAGATCTAAAAATAAAGTTCACTTTTTTATAACATGAGTATTTTGTGCGCAATTTTGTGTCACACATTTTTTATTGTCTTTAAAATTTTTTTCTTAAAAACGGCACACAAGTTTCACATTTTATTTGGACCTTAGATATTGTGAAAAATGCTTAAGAGAATGGTGAAAATCTGATGTTCGTTAAAATGCCTGATTTTTCGAACTTTTAAAGAAAATTCGGTTTCTTCCTACAGCTATCATTCTAAAGATATATTTTTTCTTAATGAAATGTGCTCAATAAAAACAGATCTTCAAATAAGATCATGCTAAAATTTTCCAAAATATGAGTATTTTTTGAGTAATTTGACGTGAAACATAGTGGTCAAATTTACTGCGCTTCATGACCGGAAAATGGTAATGATAGACAGTCACATGTTGCGTAAATTAGAATATGTATTTTATTTCATATTTCTTCGTTTGTTTCTTACATTCGAGCTTTTGTTGTACGTTTCAAAATTAATCTTTTGGAAATTATTTAAAATGTATTTTAAATTGTGTCCTTTAAATGAGTTAATGTGAAAACGTAAAGATGATTTCGCTTTGCTTAATAACATGTGCGAATGAAGAGTAACGTATATAAAACCGAGTAATTTTGATGAATATAAAAGTATATTTAATTTTTATATTTTTCTATCCATTTTCATTTTCTTGCTAGCGGTATCAACAATGCTAATGAATGATATACGAATCAGCGGTCATTAATGTTTGTGGCAATCCATTATTGTAACAATGCACAGATAACAGAAGGCGATAATGACGCCTGCCTTTCGTTCGCGTTAATATAAAATAATAATTTTATGTACTGCTAAAATTGTATCGTTCATCGTTGGTACATTTATGTAGAACGATAATATCCTGAATTTAATTGTAGAAAACTGTTTTCGTTTAAGCATTTGAATTATAAAAATATATGTATTTTTCACGTTTCTTTTGTTTAAGAATTTTTCAAATGCCAGTTGAAATGTTAGACAGAAATTGTCATATTATAATATTACATAGCAATTAACAATATCGTGAGAAAGTATGTGCTGTTGTACCACCACTCATTATTTAGATATTAAACATATCGCCGATTTCTACATTCGAGGAGGCTTAGCTTTCTTTCTTCATTTCTTCATCGCATCTCTTTCAGAGCTTCTATTTTTTTTCTTCTCAATTTCTGCCTGGCCAGCGGCACATGTGCGTCCAACGCTTGCGCTGCGCGTGCGCAGGTGGGGCGCGTGCGCAGGCTGTTTCTGCGCGCGGTGCTGCGCCAGGAGATGGCGTGGTTCGACACCCGGGACCCCTCCGCCTTCGCCAGCCGCCTCACGGAGTAAGTGCCCTTTGGCGCCAGCGTCTTCTTTAGCGCACGGACGCAACCTTCTCTCGGCTTCAGCTCACGAGTTGGCCTAAAATGTTCACGATTTTTTTAGCAAAATTAAGGTTTCATTAAGCAAAAACGCATGGGAAAAACGGAACATCTTTATATTTAAAATACTAAGGGTTTTAGCTTATAAATAATTTAGAGCTTTCTATTCAACCAGATTTTGCGATCTTTTCTTTAAATGGAAGGTAGTATACTCTAGATGTGTTATCAGCTACTTTTATTTTCCGGTTTCATAGTGTAACAATATTTCAACAAATTTTAACAATATTTTAAAATTAATAGAATGAACACTTAACAGCCGTCATTTGTTTATAAAATCTTTTGTTTTACAAATTACAATCGGCCTATCGAATGCAGTTGACGTTTTCACGCGAGCAAGTGCGTGAGCACAAGTGAATTTGAAGTTATGTTAGCAATGTGAAAATGGTGAATTTTTAAAGATTGGTTGGCTTTGAATCCAAAGGTCAGAGTATTAAACGCTATGTCCAGCAATCATTTCACACGTGATCCTTCACAAAAATTTTAGAATATAAAGCAATGAGATTATAATTGTGGTGATAGATTATGTTCGCTTTTAGGTTAAGATGGAGAGCAGGATTTCCTGTAGTACATATATATCCCACTACATCATACATGTACAGATCTTTTCAGAAACATTTTAATTAAATTTTGATAAACACATTTAATTCTCTTAGCTCACAATGAATAACGATTGTATTGAATCAGAATGTGTAATCGTCCATTTGATTAATTTGGTTAATATTGGAAAGTTAGTGCTGAATTTAAAGAGTAAGTTCTGAAACAGTTGTTTTTTGAGGAGAGCAGGTTTTCCCTATAGTGGATATGTTTTCCTTTTTGCTTCTTGACAATCATTCCTTTTGTATGATGCAATTGCAAAGGTCCAGCTAGTTACTCATATACATTACATTTTTTTTTATTTTGAAGGATTCTGGATGAAATACTGACTTCTTTCAATATTCCTTCAGAATTTCAAATCAGCGAAGTTTATCTTTTATTAACTGTTCACGGGGATATTTGTTGAATTACACTAACATAATAAAATACAATTCACAAAGGCTTCCCAAGTGCAGAGTATACTTATAATGAAAAACTATTCTGGCTTACGACCAGTACTTAGTATTAGAGTCGTGTTGCTGTCTCCGCAAAACGCGCTCGTCGATCGTCCGCCAACGTGTGTTGCAGGGACCTGGACAAGATGCAGGACGGCATCGGCGAGAAGCTGGGCATGTTCATGTACCTGATCGTGTCGTTCGTGGGGTCGGTGATCATGTCGTTCGTGCACGGGTGGAAGCTGACGCTGGTCGTGCTGACGTGCGCGCCCGTCATCATCGTGGCGACGGCGCTGGTGGCCAAGATGCAGGGCAACCTGGCGGCGCGCGAGCAGCAGGCGTACGGCGCGGCGGGCGCCGCCGTGGAGGAGGCGCTCGCCGCCATCCGCACCGTCGTCGCCTTCCACGGCCAGCGCAAGGAGGCGCACCGGTGAGCCTGCGCCCCCCCCCGCCACCAATGCCGTTGCCCTGGGGTTCATTGCTCGATTGATTGGCGATTCCGGGCGCGTCAGCGGCTAAACTCATTAGGCCCGTCAATGTCTATCCATCGCATGTTTTCCTCCGGAGGGGCGGTGGTGATCTTCTCCCGATGCATGGTGAGATCCGGCGCAAACCTACCGTTGGCTAACGGGACCCAACCAGGTATCTCCTACCAACAGACACCGCCCCAGCCAGGACAAGCTCTAAGCTCTCGACCGGTCTCCCGTGTGATAGTGTACGATAGTGTAAATGTGTGTAAATAAAGAGGATAGGACAAGGAAGAGGTAGGAAAGATCGCGAGCGGTCTGTGGCCCGTTTGTTAGGGTACTGCGCCGCCATTCGCCTGGTGTTGATCGGAGAAAACAAGGAAAACTATGAATCAGAGCAGCCGGCCGCTAGATTTCTCTTCCGCAAAAGGACTGAACTCGCTCTAGTTATTTCGGCAGTGATGAAAATCCTGTCACCGTCGGGACTCGCATGTGGACGTCACAGTCACAGGCACTGCTGCGACATCAGATAATGCCCTGAGCTGCCTCTCCCGCTATCTGGTGTTGTTCGCGTAACTTTTCTTCAGTTCCGGAATAACTACCCGAACTCCTTAACTAACATTCATTGAATTGAGAATAAAAGAGTGTTGTGAAACAAATCTGTAAAGCAGAATTGTTCGCTCCCCTTTAATAAAATCTCTTTTGTATCAAAACGAGATTCAGATTTGATGCATCAGCTCGGTCTTCGAAGTAAACCAATGCCCACACCTCTCGCATCTAGCAAAACGAAGCCCAAGTATTGCGCTGATACTACTCGCCACCGATGATGTTGTATCCCTGAAGAATTACCGTTTTTTTCTTACCACCTCCTCCTTGTTTATTATTATTATTATTATTACTATTATTATTACTATTATTATTATTATTAGCCAACAAAGATCACATTGAAAGCAAGAGCCTCCTCTTTTGCATGGAACGCTGTTTGAAGTGCTACGTTGATGATGAAGGGTGAAAGGACTAGGGTGAGGTGGGAGGTGGCATCGTGGCATTTCCGAACCATCCCAGCATTCGCCTTATGACCAAAGAAAACCACGAAAACTCCGGTCAGGATGCTCGGCCCGGGGATAAAACCCGGACCTACACATTGCGCGGTCAGCGCGCCATGCACTTCGCTCGGTGCCTACTTGTTAGTCACTCGCTACAATTCAAGTTCTTTTCTTTGAATTATCTTCTCATATGTATCAAGGGACAGAAAAAATAGAGTGCTAGTCCCATTTTGGTCAAACTTTCCGCCTTTTGAAAAATTGCAAAAAATTAACACTTCAACAGAACAAGGCCGAGTTTGGGGCTCACTGCGTTTCGATGGCGTCGAGGTAAGGTGCAAGGCGAGTAAAGTCGGAGTAAAGTAGGAGTTGAGTATGAGTTCGCGTCTCGGTGGGGAAAATTACAGGTTAAAAACACTTTTGTAGATTTATGTAGTAGTATAATATAGCGGGATCAGTTAGAAATAATACGAGAATGTATATGCTGTTGAAGCACCACTAATTTTATTCAATTTTACCCTCGGATAGCCTGAAAGAAATTCTACTATTCGTTAAACTCTTTGAATTTTGCAAAATTACAAAAGTTTGAAATAATGGGAGAAAGTATATGCTGTTGTGGCCCCACTAGTTTACTTTTGTTTCGTTTGTACCGCCCTTCGCAGATACGCTGAGCGGCTGCAGCCGGCCGAGGCGATGGGCTGCAAGCGCGGGCTGTACACGGGGCTGGGCAGCGGCGTCTTCTGGTTCATCGTGTACGCCAGCTACTCGCTCGCCTTCTGGTACGGCGTGGAGCTGATCCTGGAGGGCCGCGAGACGGGCAGCAACGAGTACACGCCCGCCGTGCTCGTTATCGTGCTCTTCGGAGTGCTCTCGGGCGCAATGAACATGGGGCTGGCATCGCCCCACCTCGAGGCCTTCGCGGTGAGCCAATGGGGATGCCGGCAAACTGCAATGATTCGTCACTCTTTACTCAAACGTTTTAACTTCCTCTTGTTTCATTGTGGATTTTGGACTGACTCGGCCTGGGGATCTTGAACCGAGTTACTTCTCACTGACTCTGATAAAAATGATTCGTGCTCATTTGTCATCGATTCTCATCGTAAATTTCCTTGTTCCCTTTTTCGCCTTTTAATTATTTTTAATAAACCACGAACAATTTTCAATTATATATAATGTATTTATATGATGTATTCAGTGTATATATATATATATATATATATATATATATATTTATATATATATATATATATATCACTGAATGTAACTCTGAACATTGAAACGAAGGAGTATGCTTTTAACCAGATTCTTAGTAAATTATAATTCTCTCGAGTATTTAAAGGGATCAAGAGGCTCTTCGAGAAGCATACATACTCTCTCTGAACATTGGCTAAATTCATGCTTGTAATTACTCATTTACAAACATTTACCAATAAGCAGTCATCAGGAAAATGTTCGTGCTTATTGAAGGCTTATTTGGTTCCTCAGAATTCTTGGGAAAACAATAATTTACTTAGAGACTGCATTAAATAAACAAGTTACCACGATTTGCTAAATCATCGTGGACTTGCTAATAATATATTTGGTTATTTTTAATTATTTTCTCTTAATTGATTTATTTTTTGGTACTTGGATTGTATGTAATTGTTTTGGCCGTTGTAACAATTTTACTAACAAGTCGCAAACTTGCACGAGACCCATTTCGATTTGAAATGAGGCTACTCGATGATCAAGAATGAAATATTCCAGTCTGGAACGGGGTAGAGCTCATCTCTAGAGCGCGAGTCGGGCAGCAAAGATATCACGCCGGCGAGATGATCTCCGTGCCCAGCGGACTGCGATGTCGTGATGGACCCACTGCCGCGTCGATTTAATTTGAGCCTGCACAGAGTTCGAGTTTCTGCTCGTTTTTCACCACCCGTCGTCCAAAGACTTTGGGATTTTTTCTTGTATTAGTATCACTAATTTCTTGTGGTTACTTAAATACTGGAATCATTGAAAATTATCACTTAACAATTTTATTAAAATATGTTAAAGTTGTTTTGAGCTGTGACTTTGCAATCACGTCGGGATTAAGGTCTATTAGTGCTTTATCAATGTAGTTAAAATTGGCAGGTGGAAGGATAGCTTACTCCTTTGTACCCTAAAATCGGGATGTCTATATGGAATATAGTACATACACATGTGACGCATAAGCAGGTCCGTATAGAAGCTTTTGATCAGAAGCTGAAACGGCAGGTTGTACACTTGGACAAGCTTGGTTAAAACATCAGGAGTAAGATCAAATTGTAACGTTCCAGGGCCATTTATATACTTCAATTTTGGGTGGTACTTTAAATGAAGACCCTATGATATTTTTAAAATTTTCCGAAAGTAGATGCAAACATTTTCTTTACATATTTTGCTCGGATGAAGTGATCGGCATTTTCTCACTTCTAATTATTTAATCAATTTTATTATACTTTTACCTTACCCATACCTAGCTAATTGATTTATTTACAAAAACTATTATTTAACTACTTTGATTCTGGGGTGGTAATGACTTGTTGATAAAAAATATATGGCGTGGGTCGAGACTCCTGTCAAAACGGGGTTTCAGGATGTGAAATTTTATGTAAGATTATTAATTAAACTGATTTGGCTTAGAATAACATTAGATTGTTCCGAAATATTTATAATTTCCTCTTTTTTGTGATTACAATTTCGAAATATTATTCATTATTTTCCATTGAACAACAACACTCCATTTCCCGCCTGACGTGTACGCCCGTCTGTTCATGTGTCTGTAAATAACACTATTTAAAAAATTCAAAAATTGCTGTTAGATTTTGGATTTTTTGTTCATTAGAGCAAAGTATACGTATAAATATGGCACAGGTCCGACTTTTTTTAAAATCTCTAAATTTTCGAAAATTGCAAAAATTAAAATATTTCGGCTTCTTCCTAACTGTCAACAATATTGAAGATAAAAATGTTTTATAATAAATTTGTTCGAATTTGAACTTTAAATAATGTCATTTTTTTAAAATATGAATAGTTTTAGCTTAATTTTGAGTGAAATAATGACAACTTTTAAAAATTAGATTGAAACACAAGCTATGTGATTCTATGTTGGTGGAAATAAAAAAAAAACCTTATAAAATGTTATCATTATTTATTCACATATTAGAATCCAATGAGAAAATAAACTAACCAAACTTTTAAGTGTCATATCAATATACTGTAGTTTCTACCTCACATCTCAGGAATAAATTAATGTCTTTACTAAGCCGTTTGGGGTTCTTAGATCACTTAAGTGTTCATTCCTTCTGTAGGAGTGCCACTATGCACTTTCTGTGTCCTTCGTCTTGATACTTGATCTTAAATGGCTCAGTAAATTGCGGTTGATGAGTATTTCAACTGTAGCCTTGACATCACACGAGAGGCAATGCGTCCACAGAATGAATCAGCAATAGCCAGAAGCAATTGATACGAAGTCGGAGCAGACCCATTATTCATTTTGTTTCGCTGTTTGACTCTAGGTTTTTCTCCCACTTTAAAATTTCATCAGCCGTTTCTCGTCGTTAAGCTATTCTAACAGTCTGTGGTTTCACGTAGCTTTTATTTGAATATAAATAATAAAAGAAATTTGATTACGTACCTGAATAAAACACTGGATATGAGACAGTGTCGTAAGTGTCCGAGTGCGGACGAAAGCGGCGCATCTCCGTCGACCGGCAGCATGGGTATTTTTTGTTTCGAAATTATCTACCTTTACTATTTATAATACAAAATTGTTTGGAAATACACTTTTAAAAATTAACTAGCGGAACCCGGCACACGTTGTTCTGCCCTTTATCTCCCTCTTTCTGCTTCCCTCTTCCTTTCTTTCTCCGTCTCTCTCTCTCACCGTCTGTCTCTCCGTCCCTCATCCCTTCGTCTCTCTCTCTCCCCGTCTCTTTTCGTCTGTCTCAGTCTGTCTCTGCCTCTCCCTGTCCCTCTCATTCACATTTAGTTGCAGATTCTGTACGTCTCTGAGCAGGACTGGACCAGCAGAAATGTAATAGGACGTTCAAGAAGATCTCATCCTGTAGATTGCGGCGCGCGAAACGTTTATTTGAGGCCTTTAGTCTCATGATTTTAGTATTGAATGCCCTAGAACGCTTCGTTTAGGGGTCATTTAACATATAGATTCAAAAAGGCTGCTGAATGTTGGGGGTTGCATTTGACATGAATATTTAGTTTTGTTCTACAGTGTCATCTAGTGAAGTTACAACAAAATTAACAGCACATAAACTTTCTGTATGCGTTTTAGGAAGAAGGAAAGGTTTTTACATACCCAGATTATAAATTGCGATTTCGAAAAAGATTTGCGTATTTTTTCTTAATTTTAGAGTTCGCACAAGATATTCGTGCTCTCGACGGCAGTTAAATTGCGAGCGTCTGCACGAACATTACGATGAAACAACAGTAAAATATCGATTGTGTCCTAAGGACCACGGCCCCGTCGACCAATGTGACTACCGGCAAAGGCGACTCAGGGCGTCACTGCAGTGCCTCTGACCGGGAAGTCCTAGGGTTTGAGTCCCGACGATGGAAGGATTTTCGACTCTAGCTTGTCAGCTAGGTCGAAATCAACCCCTGAAGGATATTTCAAGCTGCCGGCTCTTCTGATAGGTAGTTTTTCGTGATTACCGATCAGTACCAGGTAAATGCCGGAGCAGTACTCTAACGGACAGTCCTCAGAGCACGTGCGATCTTTCTTTCCTCGTCCTTGTTCTCCTCATTTCTTACACACTTAAACCTATATACATTACACTACCACACTTGTCGGGAGACCAGTTGGGAGCTTTGAACTTGTCTCAGCTGGGGCGGCGCCCCGTTGGTGGGAGCTATCTGGTTGGGGAAAATCCCCGCTAGCCGAAGTAGATCCACCGCCACTTCCCGCGATACAACACGCACTAAACTTACGGGACTAATGCCCTTAACAGTTGTCTCGCCCGGAATAATCAGTCAATCAATGTAACCCTTATATCACCACATCTGAATACTAGCTTAGTGTGAGGCCTTCAGTGGGTATCTTCAGGTAAAACATTTTTATTTGTGCTTTGGAAATTCAAAATAAAAACCATTTAAAACATTTTACAGTTGCCTGAGTCGTTGATTTTCCGTCATAGAAAGTTACACAAAAAGTATCGCTTAAAATGCTCCTTTAATTTATGTTTCTTACGAAATTAGGTTTAATTAGCGTCAATCTGGTGAACAGTCGTCATAACGAATCATGTACAAATTGATGATAGGAAAGAGTGTAGTAATTCACAGAGTCTCAGCAATATACTCGTAGATGCATTGAAAGCATTAAAAACACCTGTTTTTTCTAGGATTTCTCGGCATATCCAGAGGTAACCAGTTAAGTATTGTGCGAATCAATTTGTCTTGTCGAGATGAACCAAATGAGTAATGATCACCTCTGTAGGTGCCATAAGTTACCGAAAACGCATTTCAGTTTCTTAGAAATTAAAACGTTGCGTAAAAGAACACGTTTTTCAAATAATATTTGAGAATATTCTGGTGGAATTCGCAAAAAAATTATCTTTCCTCATCAGAAGATCTAGATCGAATCATATCATAAGACAATTGAAGAGGATCGGAAGTGGCCGTGAATAATCGTGGATGACGGACGTACAAACGCAAGTTACTCGTTACTATAGAAATGCCTACAAGAATATGTAAAGTACTATATGGGGAAACCCCTATATTCCTACAAATAGTGCCCCCATTATAAACAAAGTAATCCTTTCAAGTGGCAGGATAATGAGAAAGATAATGCATAGATGTGTGATGTGTAAAGTGTGATACGTTATTGGAAGATAATGTGTAGAGTTTGCAGCTGATGTAGTGTCACATCGATCCTCAGGAAGGGCAAGTGACGACGCGCTTTTATT